TCCTGCACCCCGGGCAGCCAGCAAAAACTTCCTCAAGTCCATTCACCCCGACGACCTCCCAAGTGGCAATCGAAAAGAAGTTGGACGACTGGAGGAGGGAGGGCCGACGGGCAGGCAGGGTGCCGCATAATGACACGAAGACGGACGTGAAGAGGCGCATAGAGCGACGGATTGAGACACGGGGGACAGAGTCTGCAGCGGCGTACACGCATACGCAGGCAGATCACGTGAAGGACAAATAGACAGAAGGCAACGCAGAAACATCGAGAGTTGGTCAGAGAGATGCAATGACAGAGATGGAAAAGGTACGCAGAGTGCTCGCCACAAATGGACCACAATAACTCGCTGATCTCGTCAAGGATCATAAACCATCACGCAAACTCCTGTCATCCTCGTAGCAGCGGCTTTTGGTTGGTCATCGAACAAATCCGGTGGTCACTGCATCGCGCAATTTCAGATGCGCTTCTGCTGCCGTCCGATATTAGGAAGCCATTGGGAGCTATGCACTTTTAATTCATCATCTAGATTGACAAACTCATTACTTTAGAATATATTTTTTTGCTTTTATTTTGTTATCCTGCCCCGCACGCCTCCGATTAGTATGCTTGGTTACGTACGGTGCGAAAGAAGTTCAACATACAATAAGCATGAACATGCACAGACTTGCGTCGCCTACTGCTGGATGGGCGCCTCCCCTCAGCGTGCGGGTTAGCAATTGACCGCACTTCACCACACTGCTCGGTGCAGGCGCGTGAAGTTGGGGAATGAATGTTGGAGCGACAAAGCGTGTTCGCTGCACTGCTGATAGACACGAGAGTAGCCACGCAGAAGCAGCCGCCTACAACACCCGAGGTTAATGCATTGGCGGTCGCCATTCGCGGTGCAGTCTTCCATGCTGCACAGCCCTAGGGATTTGGTGATAGGCAGGGACACGGAGAGATGCAAATGCCGTGTACATACACGCGCGCACACGTGGCCACGAATAACGCGGAGTTGCGATGAATAGGAGGGACAGAGAGCAGACTGAGAGATGCAGGGGCCGACGGCTGGAATCGACGACGTGACAAATGAACAGACACGTGACAAGTGAACAGACGGGGGACAAACACGCAGATCGAGACGCGCAGGCGAGGGTGATTCACGGTCAGCGTGGCAACAAATCAGACATTGGTCTCGGAGCAATTCCGGTTGTGCTAGGCACGCACAAACTCCCCCCCGCGCGCTCGAGACGGAAACCGCAGCAAAAGACCTCGAGGCAGCGGTTTTAATCACTGTTGTGAAAACAGGCATGTTGGGAGCTCACACGGAAAAGTTTAGGGTTCATGCCGAAGGGGACACATTTTTTGTCATCTCTTCTGATCCATCTCACCAAATTGTGTCGGCGTGTACGTACGTTGAGCTTCTGTCACACCGTACGTAACCAACCGTGCCAATCGGAGGTGCGGGTGAAGAATCGATGAGCACGGTTGGCTACGTATGGTGCGAAAGAAGTTCAACATACATACAAGGAGAACAAACTAAAGACAAAAAGCAGTTCTAAATAAATTACTTATCAATCTACATTATTTAAAAGTGCATAGCTCCAATGGCTTCCGAATATCGGAGGGAAGAGCATTCCAGACGGCCGCAGAAGCGCATCTGAAAGCGCGCGATTATGCACTCTCAGAAGCTCGTCCGATTGATAGGTTCTGTAATACGTGGAGGGACAGATGTGAGGCGGATTATGTATGTGTTTTGAAGTTTTTTCTCACCGTATGTATCCAACCGTGTTAATCGAAGGTGCGGGGGAAGGACAATAAACTAAACACAAAAAGCAGTTCTAAATAAATTAGTTTCCAATCTAGATGATGATGATTTAAAAGTACATAGCTCCAGTGGTTACTCATATTAGAAAGAAGAGCATTCCAGACGGCCGCAAAAGCGCATCTGAAAGCGCGTGGATGCGGTGTTCCATGGCTAGCCAAAAGCTCCTGCGAGGATGAGCGGAGTTCGCGTGGTGATGTTTTACGCTCCTTGACGATTGCCTCACCGTCGCATTGCTGGATTGGTTTAATTGAAGTGTTGTATTTGCTTCGCCAATCAATTCCCATTGAAGGAATGTACGTGTCATACATTTATCTGAAGAAGAAGCTTCGTTGAGTTTCAGGACTTTTTTATATGGGTGGCCTTCTGCATTCGCACGTTTGGCCAAATCCATTTCAAGTAGAGCCTTAATGTGCTTTTTAAGGAAACCAGAGTTTACCTGGATTACAAAGACAAAAAAATCCCCGTATAGCATCAATAGACTGTTGGGGCAAGTGATGTAAGCGAGCAGCACCGATGAAGACCAGCACGACACACGAGGGGCTGGTTGGCCAACACCACGCCCGGCCGCCTTTGTCTCCCTCGTGGCAATGTTTACACACCGCACAAGGTACTCAATTGAGGCTGAGTCAATCTAGCGGAGGCCCAGGGCCGATTCAGGATAATGGTCACCGGTGTTGGCCGTGAGCGGAAATCGAACTCAGCACGCCACGTTCGTAGCGCAGCATAGCGCGAACCGTTACACCCCACTCCCTACAAAACACACACACTCTCGATGGTCTTCAGATGGGCTCGCCATCCCACTTGCTGTACTGGCCATCCTGCAGCCCAGTGGGCTTGAGAGTTCTGCGCGTCCATCAAGCGAGACCGAGCGGCAATCGCGTGAAGGCCAATGACGACATCACCAACTCGTCTCCCATCACTTGCAAACCAGGGCCCGGATGTAGGTTCTTGTAGGCCCTAGGCACTTCTGTTTCGTCGGCCTTCAGTGCTAACTCTCTACAGCTGGTACTGCTGCTGCCCCATGTCACTACTACCGCCGCTGTCGCGCCGCTTGTTTTACGTCGTAACTTCATCCATAGGACAACACCGCCGCCTTTGTCTTCCCTTGCACTGCTCTCTATTGAGAATGAGATTGAAGGTAAAACACCATTTGAAGATGTTATTTTTAATTTTGCAATGAAAAAAATCTCCAAAAGTTCATCTCCGGTCTTAATTTCTCACTCACCTTATGAGAAAAAAAAAACTATAGACATGACTCTGGATATTGTTGCTATATAAAGATCAGTATTCAAGAAGACATCTTGGTAAAAAAATGTTATATCATATACCATAAAAAAACATGGTCAACCTTTTATTTTGTCGGCCCTTTTAGTTTTCATAGGCCCCTAGGCACAGTGCCTACTGTGGCCTATTGAACATTACGGCCCTGCGTGCAAAGTTTTGATGAGGATCCTCCTGAGGTGAGCTCTGGGTGCTTGCCCAATGATCTCACTCGGGTGGGCGGTCGTTGCGGTGTCCTCACATCCGTCCTGCACGCACGCTCCATCCCTCATCACACTAGCGGCTCTTCACTAATGCTTGCTAGTACTCCAAATGCGTGATATTGATTCTAAATGTGGAGGGGACAAAAAAGCGGAGGATCCGCGAGAAAAAGATTTACACGCGACCAACGGTCAAGAGAGACATGCAAACTCAAAATATACAGCAGGCATCGTCAGGGTTGGGATCGAACCCACGACCTCCTGCATACCAGGCGAGGGTATTAACATCTCCTAGCCACGGTGTTATGCACGCGACTCACTAAATACACCCTATCCGTGGCACCTTTCACGATAATGCCTGCAAAGGGGGGTGTGGGGGGGGAGGCACTTTCGCCGATAAGAAGACATCATCAGAGAACCGCCGCCCATTTGATTGGGGGTTTGACAGCAGCACGACGACGATTGACGATGATGGGGTGGGGTGTGGTGTGTTCACTCTTCTGGTATTATCGGGGGTGGGGCAGTAAAAGCCACCAGTGGGGGGCGGCCAGTGGCCCACGGTGGCCTTGCAATGAAGAACGCTGCGCTACAAACCTTCTCTTCCTGCACGAGTAGAGCTCGTCTACAATGCCACATCGCCACGTTCCATTTCAAACTACTCAAGTTGCTCACTTGCACCATCGTGAAAATACAATTCCAAAAATCCTTCCGCGTACACCCTATACTCAAACGTCCGAAGGTAATTTGCCAGAACGTTGTATTCATTGCTGACGCAGCAACGCATGACTCAATCACAAACTGTTCCTGCTCAAGCAATAGTGCCTCTTACCCATCTTTTCACGACTGTGTTACTTTTTTTATACCAGGTAAGGCCCACTGAGCTGGATGCCATGGTGGGCTAGGAGATGTTAACTACCTCGCCTGATATACAGGTCATGGGTTCGATCCTGACACTGATGCCTGCTGTATAGTTGGAGTTTGCGTGTCTCTTTCTCCCCGTGGCCGCGTTGATTTTTCTCCGGGTGATCCGGGATGTTCCTCCACATTGAGAAACATACGTTAAAAGTATTTGGCTGCTATAAATTTACACATAAGCCACTTCATCGAGCTATCATTAGTGGCCCAGTCGCTTCTGATAAAAAAAGCTAAATATTCTAAACGCGTGATGTTGATTTTAATTGCGGAGAGAAAAACCGGAGGACCCAGAGAAAATCCACGCCACCACGGGGAGAGACACGTGAACTCCAAATGTACAGCAGGCGTCGTCAGGGGGTTGGGATCACACCCACGACCTCCTGCATACTGCGCGAGGTAGTTAACATCTCCTAGCCACCGTGGCACCCTGCACGGAGTGTAACCCTCAGCTCTGAGCCCTTCGTAGTTATAGCAGAGAATTCCTGCACCCCACATCTATCCACCGCATTATGCACGTGACTAACTAAATACACCCTACCCGTGGCACCTTTCACGCTAACGCCTACAAGAGGAGCCAGTGTCCTTGCAAATGTCACACACCTTGTTTTCGGTAATCCCCACCACCAACCACAACAACAACGACGACCCAGCCAAGGCCCCAGCTCGCAAACTGCATCGTTGGCAAAAGAAAACATCTCCGAGTCTCTCGGGGTTTGAAATATGCAAAATTCACCCAATTACTTTGCACCCCCCTTGTTTGTCCACGGACATTTGAATAAATGTACACAAGCGGCGAGGTAGCTTATCTCGCTTGAAAATAGGGCACGGTTTATTTATTTATTTATAGACTCACACAGCGACCCAAAGTTTGTTGTTCTTCCCTCGCACCTCCGATTATTACGGTTGGCGACGTACGGTGAAAAAGGAAGTCCAACATACATGCATGTATCCACACCACTGCAGTCGTTTTACAAAGTATTCCGATTTAATTGACGAGAGATATTCCGGTATGAGTACAGCCTAAAGTGATGGCTTTGTTACAATACAAGCGAGAATAATGGATGAGATAAAAGCAACTGGAAAAAATAATGTGGCCCCTTTGAGCGTGCCAGGGATTCTAAGAGGTTCGCGGCAGAGTGAGGGAGTTGAAAGTTCAGGAGAGAATGTGTCAGCAGAGCTCGCTGTGAGCGTAATTCAGTTCAAATTATAGGAAGGGCAGGTTGTTATGGAAACAGACAATTTGCAGTCTCACACCAAGAGGCCAGCAATGAAGGCAAAGAAGCCACAGCCTGCCAGGGGGGAAGCCTGTAAAACCATTTGGAGAGCGGATGTGCCTGTTGTGCCCAATTGCGGGATCTGGCAGACGAAAGAGATGGGGAGAGCGTAATGAAGAGGTGACCTATCTCGACCCTCCTTGACACTCACCGCCGAAGATCAGCTCTCCGACGCATCAAAAAAGTTGAATTTAAACTCTCGTGCGGCACAACGGAAACCGTTTGGGCATGTGGTCGCAGCTATGGCAGCGGCGGTGCTGGCGGACGGCGCCCCAAAGCTCGCGGGCCAAGCGTCGGAGAGGACTTCCACAGGGGTGGCGCTGGCCTCCGCCGTGGCCCCCGTGGAGGCCGGCGCGTTGCCTGCGGATGCGTTCTCTCCGACCGAGTGGAGCCTCTTGCGGCCCTCCTTGCTGACGCATGCCTTGTAGAACACGCTATTAGGCTTCGCCGGCACCGGCACCAGCTTCATGGTCTTCATGGCTGCAAAAATAAATATGTCTAAGAAAAATGTATACATCACAAAAAGGGGAACAATTCCATTGTTTTCAGGAAACTATAAAAAAAACTAAACGATTTTATTTTTCGTTTTAGAAGTCCAAATAATCCCTCGTGTTTAATTCCTGCAGTCAAGACAGTTTTTTAGGAGAATAAAATGGAGTAGATCCCCTCTTAATGATGGTAATTGGTTCAACAAAACTGGTCCTTAAGTGATTTCGTCATCAAGCGGTTTGTAGTTCAAGCGCAGCAGACGTGAATGTAAACAATGCCCGAATGCTCACAAATGAAATGAACGTCGCCGATTGGCCGAGGCCTGGTCAGACCACTTTAGAGCTTGCCGATTGGCTGAAATTGGCGGTCGCGTGCTCATCCTAAGCCCGTTGTTAGCAGGGGAATGGTCGATAAGTGAACACATCGGGCTCTATGGAGGCCTGTCGTTAAGCGATTAGTCGTTAACAGGGGTGGTCGTTAAGAGGGGTTCTATTCTACACTACACACTACTATACACTACACTACTACACACTATTCTACTACACACTACGCTACTCGACTACACACGACGCTACAACAAACTACGCTACTACTGTACACTACAATACACTACGCTCCTATGCAGAGAGGGAAAAAAGTATTTGATCACTCATTGGTTTTTTCGGTAAAGTCACGTATGTAGAAATACAATAAAATTATATTTAAAAAAAAACAATCACGACGTTTCGATCACAATGCAAGCGATCTTCATCAGGTGTCAAGAACAAATCATGGAGGTAAATACAACAAAAAGATGAGAGACGAGAATTCAACAAACCTGAAAAAACATTATGTGAAGCACATCCAGTTAGGCAAACAACACAGACACTTCCTGGCGGACCACGAATTTCAGAAGAGTGTTAAATTTCGTGTTCAACCTTTGGATTGCACATACCAGCATAGATAGAATGAAAAATACGAGGTACACGGTCAGTAGAAATACATATACAAGTCCACCAAGAGGTAAGGAGGGAGGAAAGACGGACAGGGAGGCAGAGAGAGAGGGGGGGGGGGGGCAAAGGGATGAACAGAAGCTTAAATAAGAAATACGGTTGGCGGGGGGGAGGGGCCAGAGCGAGAGCGGCAGCTCAAACACGCACATCTTACACATACAAAACGGCAGCTCAAAAAAGACCACCTCTTTTAAATACAAAACGGCAGCTCAAAAAATGACCACCTCTTGTAAATACAAAACGACAGCTCAAAAAAGGGCACATCTTACACATAATTACAACGGTAACTTCCCCGTAGAAGTGTGATAATAAAGTATTAAAGCTTTCGTGACTGCATAAAATTACTCATTGGTTTTTTCAGTAGAGTCACGTATGTAGAAATACAGTAAAATTATATTAAAACAAAAAACAATCACAACGTTTCGATCACAACGCAAGCGATTTTCATCATGTGTCAAGAACAATTTTATTGTATTTCTACATACGTGACTTTACCGAAAATCCAATGAGTAATTTTATGCAGTCACGAAAGCTTTAATACTTTATTAAGTATTTGATCCCCTGCTGATTTTGTACGTTTGCCCACTGACAAAGAAATGATCAGTCTATATTTTTAATGGTAGGTTTATTTGAACAGTGAGAGACAGAATAACAACAAAAAAATCCAGAAAAACGCATATCAAAAATGTTATAAATTAATTTGCATTTTAATGAGGGAAATAAGCATTTGACCCCTCTGCAAAACATGACTTAGTACTTGGTGGCAAACCCCTTGTTGGCAATCACAGAGGTCAGACGTTTCTTGTAGTTGGCCACCAGGTTTGCACACATCTCAGGAGGGATTTTGTCCCACTCCTCTTTGCAGGCCTTCTCCAAGTCATGAAGGTTTCGAGGCTGACGTTTGGCAACTCGAACCTTCAGCTCCCTCCACAGATTTTCTATGGGATTAAGGTCTGGAGACTGGGTAGTCCACTCCAGGACCTTAATGTGCTTCTTCTTGAGCCACTCCTTTGTTGCCGTGGCCGTGTGTTTTGGGTCATTATGCTGGAATACCCATCCACGACCCATTTTCAATGCCCTGGCTGAGGGAAGGAGGTTCTCACCCAAGATTTGACGGTACATGGCCCCGTCCATCGTCCCTTTGATGCGGTGAAGTTGTCCTGTCCCCTTAGCAGAAAAGCACCCCCAAAGCATAATGTTTCCACCTCCATGTTTGACGGTGGGGATGGTGTTCTTGGGGTCATATGCAGCATTCCTCCTCCTCCAAACACGGCGAGTTGAGTTGATACCAAAGAGCTCCATTTTGGTCTCACCTGACCACAACACTTTCACCCAGTTGTCCTCTGAATCGTTAAGATGTTCATTGGCAAACTTCAGACGGGCATGTATATGTGCTTTCTTGAGCAGGGAGACCTTGCGGGCGCTGCAGGATTTCAGTCCTTCATGGCGTAGTGTGTTACCAATTACATTATGAGACCTCCTTTGCCAGTAACAAGATATAGTAATAGGTTTTTACCCTTTTAGCTGGCACAAAAACTGACACCTTTATACAAGGGATCATGTTTGCAATAACCACAACACAAGCAGTCAAAAATGCTAACAAAAAGAAACAACTCTGATAATGATATTGGCACTGTCCTTGAATTTGATTGGTCCACACAGGAGACGACTTTTCTTAGAGCCTAGTCTCCACTGGTGTTGGACCAGATGACACCATAAGGCGTACAACTCAAAAACAGCGCACTATCAGAGTATTGAGAGCTCGGGGTAAGCCTTTACATTATGAGACCTCCTTTGCCAGTAACAAGATATAGTAATAGGTTTTTACCCTTTTAGCTGGAGTGGCCTAGCCAGTCTCCAGACCTTAATCCCATAGAAAATCTGTGGAGGGAGCTGAAGGTTCGAGTTGCCAAACGTCAGCCTCGAAACCTTAATGACTTGGAGAAGATCTGCAAAGAGGAGTGGGACAAAATCCCTCCTGAGATGTGTGCAAACCTGATTGCCAACTACAAGAAACGTCTGACCTCTGTGATTGCCAACAAGGGGTTTGCCACCAAGTACTAAGTCATGTTTTGCAGAGGGGTCAAATACTTATTTCCCTCATTAAAATGCAAATTAATTAATAACATTTTTGACATGCGTTTTTCTGGATTTTTTTTGTTATTCTGTCTCTCACTGTTCAAATAAACCTACCATTAAAATTATAGACTGATAATTTCTTTGTCAGTGGGCAAACGTACAAAATCAGCAGGGGATTAAATACTTTTTTTCTCTCACTGTACAGCGCGCGCAGGAATCTCGCGGTCAATCGCAAACGGTCGAGACGCTAAGGGGGGGGGGTGCCACCGCTGTGGAATTCACTTCCACTCCGCTGACTTCCAAACCCCTCACCCCCCCATCCCTTTATCACCCCCCCCCATCCCTTTATTCAAATAGCGCCTTGAGACGCGACTTCATTTGAAGGGCTTTTCCTCTTTCTTAAACCCTTTTAATTGAGGTAGGATTTAATCGGCGCGAGCCCTGAGCACATGCGCGTGTGTTTTGTACAGTGCCTTGTGATCTCCGGGTGAAAGGCGCTTTATAAGCGTACGTTATTATCAGTCTTATTATTATTTTTACAATCCCAAGCATCTTTATAAATTAGCACATTAACGTCAATTAAGGAGCGTGTCATCACGCGCACATTGATACGAATGAGCGTGCGGGCGGCAATTTTCCGCCCACTCCTTAGGCGTGCGATGAATGGGTGGTGACGCTCTCGTCAATATTAACTACGAGTGGAGAGAGTGCAGTGCCTGGCAGTGCGGAAGGGCCAAAATACATTCAATACAAAGACTGAAAATGTTATGTTCTTTGTTTATTTCATTACTCCTAAGGCAAAACTTATTATTATTGATAGAACAAATAGCGTGCCCACTTCATTTTAGATACAAATTACTTTCATTTCCTTCCATTCATACGTTCAAGACAACTAATTAGCATTGAAAATACTTAAATTGAACCCAAGAACCCCAAGAACCGTTGTATATTTCCACATGCACGGTAATGCATTAACATAAATTATGCAGCACTTCATCACACATGCACGCGAGTGCGTGCGTGTGGCGGAAGCAGACCCCAGCACAGCGGTGTCTACCTGAGGTAGTACAGGCGGACAGAGACCCCATCACAGCGGTGTCTACCTGAGGTAGTACAGGTGGACACAGACCCCAGTACAGCGGTGTCTACCTGAAGTAGTACAGGCGGACACAGACCCCATCACAGCGGTGTCTACCTGAGGAAGTACAGGCGGACACAGACCCCGTCACAGCGGTGTCTACCTGAGGTAGTACAGGCGGACACAGACCCCAGTACAGCGGTGTCTACCTGAAGTAGTACAGGCAGACACGACCCCATCACAGCGGTGTCTACCTGAGGTAGTACAGGCGGACAGAGACCCCAGCAAAGCGGTGTATACCTGAAGTAGTACAGGCGGACACAGACCCCATCACAGCGGTGTCTACCTGAGGTAGTACAGGCGGACACAGACCCCAACACAGCGGTGTCTACCCAAAGTAGTACAGGCGGACACAGACCCCATCACAGCGGTGTCTACCCAAAGTAGTACAGGCGGACACAGACCCCATCACAGCGGTGTCTGCCTGAAGTAGTACAGGCGGACACAGACCCCATCACAGCGGTGTCTACCTGAGGTAGTACAGGCGGACAGAGACCCCAGCACAGCGGTGGCTACCTGAAGTAGTACAGGCGGACAAAGACCCCATCACAGCGGTGTCTACCTGAGGAAGTACAGGCGGACACAGACCCCATCACAGCGGTGTCTACCTGAGGTAGTACAGGCGGACACAGACCCCAGTACAGCGGTGTCTACCTGAAGTAGTACAGGCAGACACGACCCCATCACAGCGGTGTCTACCCGAGGTAGTACAGGCGGACAGAGACCCCAGCACAGCGGTGTATACCTGAAGTAGTACAGGCGGACACAGGCCCCATCACAGC